CTAAACTAAATAACTAAACTAAACTAAATAAATAAACTAAACTAAATCAATAAATAAATAAACCTCTTCCTGTTGGTGCTCCTGCAGCTCATCACCGCCCCCTGCTGTCCAACTCTTAGAACTACAGAAAAAAGTTTTTAAATATCGTTTTTAAGTTTTTAAATGTTAAATATAATTCATAAATTATAATTATGATAAACTCTTTAAAATAATTTATCACAGATTGTATATTAAAATAAACAAATGATCTGAGTTTGTTCTGAACAGAGGATTTGTTTATTTTTATGTTTTTATATAAAGAAAACTTAAAAGTTGATTAATTTAACTTGTTTGCTCTAAATATTCAGCATAACTTTGTTTTTGATTAATTAAAATAAGTTCATTTTTAATAAAATTTCTATTAAATAATCAGATTTTTCTGCGGCACGGTGGCACAACTGGTAGAGCTGCTGCCTCTCAGCGAGCAGGTCCCTGGTTCAAACCCCGGTCCAGGGGCCTTTCTGGGTGGAGTTTGCATGTTCTCTCCGTGCATGCGTGGGTTTTCTCCGGGTACTCCAGTTTCCTCCCACAGACCAAAAACATGCATGTTAGACTGACTGGTAACTCTAAATTGTCCCTAGGTGTGAGAGAGAGAGTGAATGGTTGTTTGTCTCGTTTGTCTCTATGTGTCCCTGTGATGGACTGGAGACCTGTCCAGGTGTCCCTGTGATGGACTGGAGACCTGTCCAGGTGTCCCTGTGATGGACTGGAGACCTGTCCAGGTGTCCCTGTGATGGACTGGAGACCTGTCCAGGGTGCCCCCCGCCCCTCGCACAGTGATTGCTGGACATGGGCACCAGCGACCCCCGTGACCCAAAATGGAATAAACGGGTAAAGAAAATGGATGGATGGATGGTTTCATGAAGAAGCTTCATCTCAGTTCCTTCAGATTTTTTTTTTTCGTCTTTCTGGCCCAACCTGGCAACTCGCCCGGCCCGTGGCTCCTCCTCCTGCAGGAAACGAGGCCGAACCAGAGTGGAGCTGAAGCCGCGCGTGGACAGCGGCGGAGCGGCCCAGGTTCTGTTCGAGTTCCGGACGGTAACGGAGACCAAAGATCCGTCTGGGGTGAGAACGAGCGGCCGGGCTGGTCCCAGCTCGGTCCGGTCCGGTTCTGCTCTCGTCAGAACCTCAAGAGGGTTGAGCGCTGAATCGTACGTCGACGTCGCCGCCATATTGGATGTGGCAAAGTGGAGCGGTCAGAGAAGATGTCTCACTCATTGTGCAGATTAAAATGTAACATTTAATCAGTTGATTAAAATGTAACATTTAATCAGTTGATTAAAATGTTACATTTAATCAGTTACATGTTTTTCACTGGCGGGTGGTGGTGGCGGGTACATTCAAGAAACACGGGTTGGACCTGACAGCCACCATTCTGTGCTGGTGTCACTGGTTGTGTGTCTTCCACAAACTGGGGCTGCAGACAAACAACTCTGAGGCAGCAAGACTTTTCAGAGGTTTTTAACTTGCGCACATGCACACGCACTGACTGCAGTTGTATACCTGCACTGATGTATGTATGCGTGTGTGTGTGTCTGTAAAATATTATATATATATATATATATATATATATATATCTACACATACATGTATAAAAAAGTTATTTTATTTTTACAAGCAAGTACAGGTCCTTCTCAAAAAATGAGCATATTGTGATAAAGGTCATTATTTTCCATAATGTAATGATAAAAATGAAACGTTCATATATTTCAGATTCATTGCACACCAACTGAAATATTTCAGGTCTTTAATTGTTTTAATACTGATGATTATGGCATACAGCTCATGAAAACCCAAAATGCCTGTCCCAAAAAATGAGCATATCATGAAAAGGTTCTCTAAACAAGCTATTAACCTAACCATCTGAATCAACGACGTAACTCTAAACACCTGCAAAAGATTCCTGAGGCTTTTAAAAACTCCCAGCCTTGTTCATTACTCAAAACCACAATCATGGGTAAGACTGCCGACCTGACTGCTGTCCAGAAGGCCATCATTGACACCCTCAAGCAAGAGGGTAAGACACAGAAAGAAACTGCTGAACCAATAGGCTGTTCCCAGAGTGCTGTATCAAGGCACCTCAGTGGGAAGTCTGTGGGAAGGGAAAAGTGTGGCAGAAAACGCTGCACAACGAGAAGAGGTGACCGGACCCTGAGGAGGATTGTGGAGAAGGGCCCATTCCAGACCTTGGGGGACCTGCGGAAGCAGTGGACTGAGTCTGGAGTAGAAACATCCAGAGCCACCGTGCACAGGCGTGTGCAGGAAATGGGCTACAGGTGCTGCATTCCCCAGGTCAAGCCACCTTTGAACCAGAAACAGCGGCAGAAGTGCCTGACCTGGGCTACAGAGAAGCAGCACTGGACTGTTGCTCAGTGGTCCAAAGTACTTTTTTCAGATGAAAGCAAATTTTTCATGTCATTCTGAAATCAAGGTGCCAGAGTCTGGAGGAAGACTGGGGAGAAGGAAATGCCAAAATGCCAGAAGTCCAGTGTGAAGCACCCACAGTCAGTGATGGTCTGGGGTGCCATGTCAGCTGCTGGTGTTGGTCCACTGTGTTTTATCAAGGGCAGGGTCAATGCAGCAGCTATCAGGAGATTTTGGAGCACTTCATGCTTCCATCTGCTGAAAAGCTTTATGGAGATGAAGATTTCATTTTTCAGCACGACCTGGCACCTGCTCACAGTGCCAAAACCACTGGTAAATGGTTTACTGACCATGGTATTACTGTGCTCAATTGGCCTGCCAACTCTCCTGACCTGAACCCCATAGAGAACCTGTGGGATATTGTGAAGAGAAAGTTGAGAGACGCAAGACCCAACACTCTGGATGAGCTTAAGGCCGCTATCGAAGCATCCTGGGCCTCCATAACACCTCAGCAGTGCCACAGGCTGATTGCCTCCATGCCACGCCGCATTGAAGCAGTCATTCATGCAAAAGGATTCCCGACCAAGTATTGAGTGCATAACTGAACATGATTATTTGAAGGTTGGTGTTTTTTGTATTAAAAACACTTGTCTTTCATTGGTGGGATGAAATATGCTCATT